AAACGTATAGCTCCAGGTTGCGTACTTTTCTCATCACTGCTTGGATAGACAGATTAAGAAGCCAGAGAATGTCGGAGTGTGTTCTTTTTAGCTCGATTTATTACAAAGAAAGCGATTTCTGTATCTTTTGCATTGTTGAACACTATGGTTTTCATTTCTTTTTTAGCCCATTGTTTACAACTTTTACAGGCTATTGCAGAACGTTTTCAGGAATTTTAGAATTTTCGAAAAAAAAAAGAAGAAATTATTCAGATTGTTTTTAGCCACGCGATCATCATTATTCAACTTCGCTATTGGAGGAATTGAGCTAGCATCATAGGAAATTTGATTGTGATTCTGTATGCAATCAGATGAAAAGATGTAACAGAACAAGCTCATTTATACTGCGCTGAATGTGTTTGATTAACTGTCTGAAACAAAAAATTCAAACCCTTGGATCATGCATCAAGTTTCTCTTATCGGTCTAATTTGAAGTGATTTCTAATTTATTAGAGGAGTTCAATATATACTTGTAAACACCATCATAGGATCTTGAATAAATAATTTGGTGTATACGAAACACTTACTTGATGCGGAAGACGACATAATTTGTGATCTTGATCTTGATGATCACATCGGATTGAATAGATTGGTAGATCTAAATTAGTTTCTCTCCCCTGACCGTCTCTTAACGTAGCAGATAATTGATGGGATAATACTGCGTACCATAATAGGAGGAGAGAGGACTAATTTATATAGGAGGTGCTTTAAATCTGGTACGTCCATCAAATATCCAGATTAATGGCTTAGATTTGTTTGACTATTAAATAAAGGCCCAGCCCAATAGGATAATTAAATGTGAGCCCAATGCTTTCGGGCCACATATTCTTACATTCTCCCACTTGGTTCGAAAGCCCATAATTTAATAGTATAACATTAAGTGCGCATAAACAAATCTCATTATGCCATACATCATAATAAACTATGACATGATAAACCATATAGTGAGAGTTATGGTGGTTGTACACTCTCGATTCGCATACTTCCTTCTATATACTACTACACTAACAGTTCAACACATCAAGTTTCATAATTATATATAAATATCATAATGTCCACTTAATTGTCATGAAGACATTCATTTCTTGTTCTAAACATAATGTATACAAAAATCATAATGAACAAGAAATTCGATAATAATCAGAAACATAACATCAATGAGCTCAAGAGTGTGCCATAACATCATCATAATCAATCATCAATACAACCAAGACCCATTCTATGTACATGTTCTTTAAATGTCTTTGGTTGTAGACCTTTAGTTAACGGATCGGCAATCATAAGGTCCGTACTTATATGTTTAATGCACACTCTTTGTTTCTGAACTTCCTCCTTAACGACAAAATACTTTAATTCCATGTGTTTTGCACCTTTGGAATATTTGTCGTTCTTGGAGAAGAAAACTGCTGCGGAATTATCACAATACAATTTCAGCGGCTTGGTTATAGTGTCGACAACCCCAAGTCCCGAAATAAAGTTCCGCAACCATAATGCGTGAATTGTAGCCTCAAAACAAGCTCAGCCTCCATAGTAGATGCAGCTATGACAGACTGTTTGGCACTTTTCCATGATATTGCTCCTTCGGCAAGGAGAAACACATAGCCAAACGTTGACTTGCGACTGTCAAGGCACCCAGCAAAATCTGAATCTGAATATCCAATCACCTCAAGGCGATCAGATTTCCTAAACGTGAGCATATGATCCTTCGTCCCTTGAAGGTATCTCATCACTTTCTTTGCAGCTTTCCAGTGATCCAATCCAGGATTACTTTGATATCGGCCAAGCATTCCCACAACGAAGCTAATATCAGGCCTCGTGCAAGTTTGCAAGTACATCAAACTGCCCACAACAGAAGCATATGGAATAGATTCCATACTCTTTCGTTCCACATTATTCTTAGGGCATTGCATAAGACTAAACTTATCCCCTTTCTGTAATGGGACTACACTTGGTGAACAATTGTTCATACTAAATCTCTCAAGAATTTTCTCGATATAAGCTTTCTGAGACAATCCCAACATTCCATGTGATCTATCCCGGAATATAGAAATGCCAATCACATAGGATGCCTCTCCCATATCTTTCATTTCAAAATTCTTTGAGAGAAAATCTTTAGTCTCATGCAAAATTCCCAAATCATTAGCAGCAAGTAGGATATCGTCAACATATAGAACCAAAAATATAAACTTACTCCCACTGATCTTCTGGTAAATACACCGATCAACAGTGTTATCTTGAAAACCAAAAGACGTGATGGTATCATTAAACTTAATATACCATTGTCTGGAAGCTTGTTTATGTCCATATATTGACTTCTTAAG